TTGTCATTGCATGAGCTGTCTCCCGATGATGGCAGAGCCGACGAGAAGTATGTCGATAATGGGCGATTGGGCGTTGAATTTACCTCCCATGTTAGAGGTGAAGGACCTCGTCGCACTGGAGGAGACGACACCGCTGGATGCCCACCATCCGTACTTGGTACCGATCGATAGATGTCAAATAACGAAAAGACGAGGTCTACGATGAGTTGTTTCGGCGGAACCTCTCCAGGCTTTTTCTCGCTGTAGAGGAGATCGACCAATTCCCGGAACGGTGTCGCGCCATGCTCAATGATTGCTACCTTGCCGGGCTACGAGAAGCAAAAGAATAATTCAATTCGAGTTTGTAAATGTTCCTCTTTGGTATCTGCGGCAAAGCAGTATTGCTTACCTCGGATGTTGTCAATCCCTTGATACACCGCAGAATTTCGAAGAACAGTTGATCATCGTGTTGCTCCGAACTACCGATCACAAGCAGCGAGGAAATTCAAGAAAGGTTCTTCAGTCAAGTTGCCTAATTTCCGCGACGCGAAGCTTACCGCCATTCTACATCCAGCAAGTCTTTTAATCGTAAGAGCAGGTATTTGTATCCCCCTGCATCAATAAATGTCTGTACCCAACTAGATGGGTTGACCAAGTCATCAGTCGAAGATCGAAGCCGATACGGATGCGAAACGCGAACCTGGTGCTCTCGCTCCCCAACAACAGCCTCAGTCTCTTGACTCTATCCACATCCACCTCAAACGTTTTCGCGTCTCGCAAGAACACTGCCATTGTGACCGGAAGATCATCGCTCCGGTGTTTGACGCTTGCTGATCCTGCCTCATTCATGCGCGTCCCAGGTAACGGCGGATGCTCGGTGGCGATGGATGGTGTTTTGGATTTGGAAAATGTTTGTCCAAATGTATAGGACATTCGCTTACTGTCCTTTTTCCCTTTCCCTGATACGGCCGTACGGAAAGACGACTCGTCACCTGTTGTGTACCCATCCTTTTTCGATGATTTCGTCTTGGTACTGAAGACAGAGCTGCGCTTCGGTTTATTCTTCTCCATGCGGTCTGGTTTCGAATTCTTATCGAACAGCCGGGATCCGAAGCTGGAATTGCTTGAAGCTGTCCCGATACTACTTGTTTGATAGCCGTGCTGAAACGAGCCATCAATCAAGTCTCCATTTCTTGATGTCTGAAACGCATCATGCAAAAAGTCGTATTCTTTGTCTTGTAAATCCGGACTGAAGCCGTCCTCGGGTAGCAAAGGCGGTGGAACAGGTATCCCCTCGGCTGTATGATGATAGCTTGCTCGTTTCCCTTTTCCTGGCCTTGAAAATCCTTTCTGGCGCTTGTCGGTACAGTTTCTGACTGGTGAACCATTAAGAACTTCGAACTTTAGATTGTCGACATATTCCGTCTTCATACCTGCGGTGCTCCCTTGACTCCGCGTTGGGGCAGGAGAGCCTCCTTCTATCCCACGAAGATTGACACCTGACTGAGATTTGCGTATCTGGGGATGAGCTTGACCGATCTGATGGCCCTGTTGTGTCTGTGCCGACGGGAAGTATTCTCCGCCAGGCGCCGCAGGGACCGTCGACTGTGCTCGAGAGCGATCTGCATTTGGTCGAGCAGGGGAGTTCATGGATGACGATGAGTCGGAGCCTATCAGATTGTTCAGGGCGAGAGGGGAGCGAAGCAGACTGCGCTTGAGTGGTGTATCGAGGGGCGTTAGGCGGGAACGGGCGGTATCCGAAATATTGATTTTGTCCTATATTCACTCGAAAGTCGGTTTCAGCGAGGCATCGCAGGTGAGTCACAACGGAGGTGTAACTGACAAGTAATCGCTCAAAGTCCCTGTTAATCTCCTCCGCTTCATCGGTCTTCCGGGTCCCCTGAGCGACGGAAGTCGATGCAGCGGATTCCTGTTCTCGCTTTCCTCGCAGAGGCGACCAGGTTGTTCGGTCTCTTGTCTGATTGAAACGTTCGTCCATGATCCCGTCCTTGTGTGCAGCTGTACGTCCCTCCCGAGATATTGCAGTAGGATGATTATCTCTGGTTCCCCTTCTTTTATCTTGCATATTGTTCTCTTTCCCTACTGCAATGTTCGAGGATGAAGACGAGCGATGGAAAGGCGAAAGGTACGTTCTCGGTAGTCCATCCTGGTGTGGGAGAGAACCCTTCATCATGTCGGATACGATTAATTCGTTTCCAGAGTGATATTGCTGACTTTGTTTGGCTACTGATGGTTGAAGAATCTCATTCTCTTGTTTATGTGGAATCGGAAAGGAGGGCATGGTGGACGCAAGCCACAACGAGCTTTCACCGTGATCGAGGATATTGCAAGAACAAAGCTGAGTGCGGGACCCGGTCCACGATGGCTTCCACAATGCAGATTCAGTCTATGTGCGTGAGCGTGCGGGCCTTTGATTAGATCCAACGCTTCCTCAATTTTGGCCTGGGACAGATCTATCAGCGATACCGCCCTTTGCCTACGGTAGTATTAGCCACATGAACAATGCTGATAGGGGTCGGTAGAACATCCCTCAACATTCCTCATCAACAGCCACCGGCCGCCGGTTTCGTCTTTCCCTCCTTCCTGCGGGGCGAAAGAATGACATGGTATTGGAGTCCATTAGGTTTCAAAAAGAAAACATCTGCAGTCATCTCTCGAACACGGGGTCTTGAGTGAACACTCATCAGGTTACCTTATCCCGATCCGGTTTCTCTATACGACCTATAGCTTTGTGTACCGCGAGTTTGCCTCAGGGATCAGCCAATCAAGCTCATCATCGACATGACCTCCGCAATGCACACACCAGTGCCCGATATTCCGGGAACGCTCGTGGAAGGTGTGATGAAACAGTCGCTGATGCAGCATACCAATATGCTATTGGGGTTAGACCCCAACTTTTCCAGGTTTGTCTGCCCTCCAACTCGCTCGGCTTTACGCTTGATACGCTACTTACCACTCAGTGTTCCGCAGATTTCCTGGCTCTCAACCCGTCAGTTTCGTATATCGGAGCCTTACTCTTCTGGAGAACCGAAAGTATGTCCTTGAGCCCGCCCGTCTTATATGAACGGGGGAGCTGAACTGATACCCCTCTTGATCTTAGTTTCTGGGTGTGCGAAAAGTCTGATGGTGTCCGCGTGATGATGCTGATAGCGTGGAACGATATCGAAAAGAAGCAAGAAGTATTTCTAGTAAGTCCCGAGCTGTTCTGCGGATGACGAGTTATACCTTTCCCTGACGTAGTTTTCTATAGATAGATCGAAAGAACACATATAGGCAGATACAGAATCTGGTGTTTCCTCATTGGAATCCGCAAAACCCCGGAGCTCTGTGCGGGCCAACTATCATCGATGGGGAACTGGTATGCGATATCGATAAGAAGACCGGACAGGTATGTTGTTGGGAACGATCCGACTTGCGCCGCCACACCCTTCATCTCACTGATCTATGGAACGCTTTCAGCAACATCTGAGGCTTTACGCTTTTGACTGTATTGTGTACGATAATGCGAACTTGATGCGGAGTAGTCTGCAATCGCGCTATGGTGTAAGTTTCGTCTGCAGCTTGTCTCCAATCAAAGGCCAAAATGAAAAGCACAGGACTGAGTGGTTACTTTACTGCCGTACAGAGACTGAAGTCATGGCTTCTTGAGCCATTTCACAAACTTTTGCGAGAACAGCAATATCCCACTGACCAACCATTCGAGTGGGTACATGCGGCACTATAATGCGGAACAAGACCTGATTGACGTTCATTGTTGTTAGGATTGTGTGCAAAAAGATGGAGCTTGCTGAGGGGATCGAGGCAGTCGTGAAGGATCATATACCACAGCTGGAACACGGACATGATGGCTTGATTTTCACTTGCGCAGAGACGGGTTATGTAGTTGGAACAGACGAGATGATGTGAGTACGGCCTTTAAAGAATCCGTGCACTAACGTGGCTGACAACGTGCATTCTCTCATAGTCTGAAATGGAAACCGCCAAGAGAAAACTCGATAGATTTCAAGCTAGAGTTGCGTTTCCCGCCGACCGCCAGGGATCAAGCTCTACCGGATTACACCGCGAAACCCGTTTTCGTACTCATGACGAACATGGGAAGAAATTATGACTTTTTCGATACGATGGTTGTAACCGATGAGGAGTGGGAAGCGTGAGTGGCACCAATCCTTGGGAGATCGTTTTGAACCCTGACAAATCGTTGTTTGTTATTCGAGCATTTAGGATTAAGGAATCCGGCGTGCAATGGGACGAGAGAATCATCGAGTGCAACTGGGACCCGGATTACGACTCTTGGCGATTTATGCGTTTTCGTGACGACAAGTCAGACGGAAATCACTGGAGTGTTGTGCAGAAAATTATTGAAAGTATCCGCGATGGGGTGGAGCTTGAAACGGTAAGTCATAGTGATCGTACGCATGCTATTTCAGAGGATCATATTGACAAGATTCGCCCGCATATTTTGGTGACTGTGGACGCACAAACCAGCTGATTGAAAGGTGCCCGACAATACGAGCTCGCCGGAAAGAACGAGCGGCGATGGAACAACAGAGACAGCGATATCCACCTGCTCCTGTGAGTGCATCAGGCCCGATAGCGGGAGGAAGAGGGGACCTTATGGGTGGGCCGCCGATACCGCAGCGTGGTCCTCCGCCAAACGTTCAAGGGGGCTATGGCATGCCTGTTGGAGGGTATGGGCCGGTCGGAGGTGGTGGTCTGAGACGTTGAGATTGCTATTACGTAGTCAATGTATGCTCCACAGGCTTCAGCACATGAGTCATGAGTATTAGGTGTTCGTCGCCGCATTCTCGATTCACTCAGACCAACGCAAAAATCTGTACCATCGGGAAGGCTGACCATTCAGCACTTTCTTGAAAATTTTGATCCTCAGCCCACCACCAGAATTGGTTGAGTGCCAATCACGGGCATCTCGCAAGTGTATTGTGATCGATGCAATAAAAAGAAATCGCGGCTTGACGGAATGAAAAAGGCAAAAGAATTGCTGAGATCAGAGGGAATCGAACCCTCACCAGCTGCTGGCCTTGAATGGAAGGCAGCTATTCTACCACTAAACTATAATCCCTGGTTGTGAATGTGTTCTTTTCACTCATATATATCATTGTTGCACTTTGCTGTGGGCAAGATGACGGAGCTCATGCCGGTGATGGTGCTGCTCACAAACGGCAGATCCGCAAAAGTCCGCAACAAAGACCCCGCTGCATTTAAGAACCTGACCACCGGCTAGCTACAGAACTAATTCCAGAAGCTGAATACAAAAGGTCGAGAAAAACTTGCCTGGTTTGCCTGTTTGTGCTTCCGACATCAGCTTGCGTTGAGGATGTCCCGATGAATCTCGCGGTCGATTAGCGCGATCAGCAGCAGGCATCATGATGTGGATACCTTATGACTACCTCAATTCGGGGATTCCACTCTTCTAGGTATTGTGATCTATCACTTCCCTTGTGTTATATAGATCCTGCCTCTCGTGGTGAAAGCAAAAGCCTGTGCAGCCGCCGGTGCGCAAGAATGTCAGCGTGCGTTTCATCTTCCCCTTTTTGTCGGTTAGCGGCGTTTCAGTCGCGTTTCAGCTTCTTAATGTGTTCTCTCCCACAAAATGCGGTGCTTGAAATTCACCAATGAGCGAGTATAGCAGTGAGCACTCCGCAGAGTCATTTGTCTTTATAAATATAATATATATGTGTACGCCGCATTTCTCTAGCATTCCCCGGCGGCGCATCGAAGGCTTGAGCTGCCTATTTCCTTGTGCCCAATTCCAAGGGTAATACGACGATCCCCTCTCCCAGTTCCTTGCTTGCTACCATCTTCCCTAAAAGCAACAACAACCCTTCTCGAATATCAAAACGTCCGGAACCAGTGCCTGTTCGACACGATGCGTTTCTCAGTTTCGATCTCAGCATTGTTCGTGCTTGCGTCCGCTATCGTGCCAACAGCGTACGCAGCGGACAAAGAAGTCTGGCGAAAGAGAGCCATTTATCAGTAAGTATGGCCTCAATATCCGGTCATTGCCTTGAATGCTTAATGGTCAATCTATCCCTAGGCTAGTGACTGATCGATTCGCACCGGTGTCCAAAAATGCCCCTGCGTTGAGTCCGAACCTACCTGCAGTTTGTACAACAGGTGAAAGAAAGTGCGCACAATGACTAGCTACCAAAGTTGCCTACAAATAAGCCAGCTCAACTGACGATGGCGTTTAACCTTTTTGTCCTCCCAGGTATTGTGGTGGTACTTGGCGCTCGATCATCGAGAAGTTGGATTACATTCAGGGAATGGGAATGGATGCTATCTGGATTTCGTGAGTTATAGTTTCTTCAATCATATTTGACCGGGAAGCTAAGGTGCCTTCACTTCCCAATGTTGAAGTCCAGTCCACAGTGTGTTCAAGACCGTTCCTTTGTTTCCACTCACGCAGCAATGTTAATACGTAAATTCGATCCCCTCTTTTAGAGAACCTCGAAGTCGTGACCCATTGGGGCGAGGCTTATCATGGGTACGCACTCCGTAACTTGGCGATTCGAATGCAAATACACTAAACTGGGGACGTTGTGTAACAGGTACTGGGTCACCGACGTCAACAAATTCAATCCACGTTTCGGGAACGCAGCAGATTTGAAAGCACTCAGCAAGGCTGTTCATGATCGAGGAATGTGAGTATTTGAACCTCAGGTAGCTTCTCCCGAGTCCTAATGAATCTTTTCCGCTCTTCGTTTTGCAGGCTACTGATGGTCGATATTGTTGTCAACTTCGCTGCATCTCTTTCCACTGAAACCTCGGCCGCTGCACTCGCGCCGCAAAACCTTACCTTCAAGAAGCCTGAGCATTATCATCCGCTATGTTTGATCGACTATAATTGGCAAGACAGTGTTGAAAGGTGCTGGATGGGCGACGGTTATGTTCCTTTGATGGACTATAATACTGAAAACGCAGAGGTCCAAAACACTTTGAACACCATGATCAAGAACCTAGTGACTACATATGGCATCGATGGTCTTCGAATCGACGGTAAGCGTGACTACTTTGCAAGGAACCATGAAAGAAGTGGCTCTAAGTTTCATGTTTTATTTAGCTGCCAAGCATGTCCCCAAACCATTCTGGACGAACTTCTGTGCCGCCGCCGGAGTATTTTGCATTGGTGAAGCGTACCAAAGTGACGTCGCGTATGTCATTTTGGTGACTTCGGCACAATTCTTTGGAGCTCTTCTCATTCAGCCCCTTGTTTCCTAGCTTCCTCGCGGATTACCAGAAATCAAAATCTTTAGACTCCCTTCTTAACGTATGTCACGCTCTGCACCAACCAGAATGAGCATAAAGATGCGATTAACTAACTTGTAACATTGAATCTAATAGTACGCTGCTTTCTTCAACGGCGTGAAGAATGCGTTCCAAGTGCCCGGTCGAGCGAATATGAAAGACATGGCAGCTGCCATGACACAGTATACTGCACAATTTCCCGATCCGGGAGTGCTTGGCAACTTCTTGTCAAACCATGATGTTTCTCGATTCCGCAGCGTCACCGCTTCGGACTCAGTGGCCTATAACGCTTTGGTGTGGCAACATCTCTTCGACGGGCTGCCGATCACCTATTACGGTGAGGAACAGGAGATCAAATCCGGTTCATCCGACCCCGACCAGAGACAAGCATTATGGGCGACTGGCATGGGGAACTACTCTACAACGACGAAGACTTAAAAGCGCCTGAAGACTTTGAATACGCTGCGCAAGTTCTTGATGAGTAGGAACGTTAAAATCCCCTCTGGTAAACAGACCTATCTCCAAGGTCGATCGGCTGTAGTATTGTCGTCCGGGTCGGATCTGGTCTTTACCAAGGGTCCCGTTCTTGTCGCATTGAACAACGTGGGTTTCCTAGCTGATCCTAACAATCAACACTGACGAGCAGCAGTGACTAACGTCGTTGTGTTGCCCTCTTCGCGAGGACAGCGAGCGAGTCTGAGTTCCACTGCTACCGTCAGCATTTCAAGCGCGTCTATTAATCGATCCGGACTATACGGCCAGCTCTACGAGTACAGTCAAACGGGTTTTGGTTATCAAGAGGTATCGCTGAAATACATTATCCCTTTCTAGCGTGTTGCATTGCAAAAGCGTTTCTCTTTCTGCTAACGGTAGTCTTGTCATCACATACGATCCCGCGACATCTGGTGCGGAGCCTCAGGTGCGTACATTACAAGCTTGGTGGCGTTCCACCACGGAAGAGCTTCTCAAGCCAGAATGATACTGACGTTATCGAAATTCGCTCTTTGCAGGTCATCATGACGCTTGAGAACGCTTCCTTGTCCGGACTCTGCCGTAGTCCAAGTGCAAGTGACGCCAGCTCTTCCCAGCTACAAGCCTGGAATACATTGGAAGAAGTTACCCCTGCTATATCAGTCGGTTCCACCCAAAGTAACAGCAATCTGAATCCAGGAAGTACCCTTTCCGTGGAGACGGAGGACGCGCCTTCCGCCATCGAGTACAACACAGCGACGTCAACTCCTAGTACTTGTCAGGTAAGGAAGAATACCAAGAGGCGGCAGAGGATCGCATCATGAGAGTAAGTTCCCTGGGCGTTGCATGGGTTCTGGGACGAAAACTGACATGATGAATAACTTACTCTTCAACTTAACTGGCGGAAAAAGGGTTCTGGCTCAAAAAGGAAGACCTCTCGTCAACAAAGAAATGAGACACGCCACCGGTAGTTCCCGAAAAGCTATCCACTCGACCAAGTTGAACGTCAGGTTTGAAGAGATGAGATATTATGTTTGAGCTAGCTTGTTATGTTGTATTGTCATAGATTCGATTCTCTGTTGCGTTTTCGGATTCTAATTGAACTGGAAATATGGGATCCAAGCAGCAGTTTTCAGCATACATGACCTGGTTGAACATTCTAAGGTTGTGCTCTCGTGCTTACAAACACCAAATCCACCTCAAGTAATTCTGTAGACCACTTTTGCTTCTATAATTGTAACGGATCGGGATAGCTAGACGCTACGCGAACACCCCTCCTTTCTCGAAGTATCCGACTTCCGTGCACTGCAATGAACTCCTGTCAATGATATGTAATTCAGATACATTCTATATTATTATACATGTTGTGTGACCTATCACATTCGGAATGCTCGATACTGAAAGCTGAATGTGGCTCATGGAATCACGATGGTTGACTACTGCTAAGGCTGTTGATCAACGTGAGGCTTGGGATATGGTGCGACGGCGCGTCAGAAACTCTTCTTGGTTTCTTTGTGATTGATGTCGTCGAAGGAAGGGATGTTCCAGGTGAAGAAGCTCTCGATCTCGGATTAGGCGCTGACGACTTTCCATTAGAAGTTCCTGCACTCCCCGAACTGCCTTTCCGGACCACAGGAGTGTTCGACACACTTTCTTTCCCCCCTGGAGCAGCACGATTCCTAGACACGAAAGAGAATAAGCGAGGGTTATCGGTCGCATGCGTAAACCCAGCATACCTCTTTTTTATGACGTCTGTCTTCAAAGACAATGGTCTAACAACCCCGTGCAGTTTCTGAACAGAAATAGCGCGAATCAGCTCAAGGACTATCATAGTAATATGATAGATTGACTTACGTAAAAGAGACCACAAGCCTATATGATTGACACGTCTAGATCAGTGTCATGTGCATCAGGTACTAAGGAGCATGACTTACATTGCACAAGGGCTGACCTTCGGGGTCTCGCCTCCATAATGGAGTATTCGTCGTTTGACAATTACTGCAGTGGGTTGGCGTTTCACTAGTGCTCAATATGGTTCCCCCAGCATCTTCGCTAGATGGGGTATTAGGGCCGGACTTGTGTCCCTGTTTGGCAACCGATGCACCTTTCTCCGTGACACTACTTGCGCCTTCCCCTCCCTTGATTCCACGAGAACCGACTGCTAGCTTTAGCGCAACCAGATTCGGCGAGCTGTTGGAGCGCACTGGTATAGGCTTTTGAGCAGTTGATATCGGCTTGCCTCCTACAGCCTTTGGCAACGGCTTTGTAGGTCCAAGGTTCTGTTGAGGCTGCAGAGCGTATACTGACGGTGACATCCCGGTTGGCGAAGAGAAATTCGAAAGC